GGATTGTTTCAGCAGCAACTGCTTTCTCTTTGCCAATATGTTCTTGCATCTTTTCTTTCTGCTGTTGTTTTGCTTCATGAGCACCCTCTTTTTTGTTGTCATTCTTCTTCTCTTTTTCTTCATCGGTACCCTGTGTTGGTTTGGGTACATCAGCAGCAGTTTGTGTCTTGTTTCTTGCATCTTCTTTGGGTTTGGTCATTGGTTGGTATTTAAAATCTGGGTCATGTGCTTGTTTTCTTGATTTTTGTTTGATTCTCTTGACCATGGATCTTTGTTGGGGACTGCCAATTTTTTTGGTGGACATTTCCTTCAATTGATCTTCTTTTTTACGCAATTCAGCCATGAATTTTTGTTCCATTTCTTGCATTTGTGCTCTCATGGCTGATATGAGCTTGTCCTTGTCGTCCTCTTTGGTTGGTGTTTGTGGTTGGTCATGACCTATAAAAATGTTGGATTGTGTTTTGGTTAGTTTAATGAAATTTTGCAGTATGCTTTAGTATTAGACAATAGTTTACCTTGTGCATGAAATATGTCAGATTTCTCTTGCAGTTCTTCTTGTTGGTTTGTTAGTTCTTGTTCACTGACTTTTTCTTGTTGGTTTGTTTGTTGTTCTTCTTGTTCTTGTTGTTGGTCTTTTTCTTCATCAAGGTCTTCTTGTTGATCACCTTTTGTTTGTTGTCTTTCTTCTGCTTTGCATTGTCTTGTTGTTCATTAGGTTCTTCTTCTTTTTCTTGTTGTTGTTGTTGTTGTCGTTGTTGTTCTTCTTCTTCTTCAGTTTTAGTTTCAGTTTCTTCTTCTTCTTCAGTTTCTTCTTCATCAGTTTTTTCTTCATCAGTCACTTGATTTTTTTCATCATCACTCTTTTCTTCTTGTTCATCACTTTCTGGTTCTTCTTGTGGTTTTTGCTTTCTTTTCTTTTTCTTTTGTTGTTCTTCTTGTTCTGATTGTGATTCTGATTCTGAATGATGTTCTTCTTCGAGAAAGTCATCATCATCACTGTCTAGAAGTCTTCTTTTTTTTTTCTTTTGTTTTCTTTTTTTGCTTATTGTCCTTTTTATGATCTTGTTTCTTTGCTGAAGAGTCTGTTGATGTGCTTTGATTGATATGCAATAACTGTATTTCTTGTTCAGTTGGGGTTAAAGCACTTTGGTTAACCTGCATTGGAACAATGTGGCATATATCAGTAATACTGTAAATTTGGTCAGTTTCATAAGATGAGTTGTACTATGAGTAATGTGGGTTAAGTGTCGAAATATGTTTTTTGAAACTGAAAAATGTTACAGTTTCATAACATGAGTGATGTTAAAGAAGTGTGTGCTTTGAAACTGAAAATTTTCACAATATTCCATCAGCATTGTCAAAGACCACAATTGTCCAATGGTTGTCGTGGTTGATTGGGAAATGGATATATCTGTTTTTCATTGCTTCTGGAAAATGGCTGTCCATCAGTTTTTCTCTCAGTGCTTGATCTTGGTTTTGTAGTGGAGTCTGTAAGTTATATATATGTTTGAAATATGTTATAAAACTATGTAGTAATACATGTTGAGAAAGTAGAAAATTTTACAGTTGTAAGGTATGTTAAATTTTGCTTAGATAGTATAGAAGAGTTTGAATACCTTTTCAAAGTGAGCGAGGCTGATGTGTTTCCACTTGGAGTACATTTTGCCAAGGTTCCACTTCATAAACCTTAGGAAGCCTTCTTTGCTGGATGGTTGGCGGAGTTTGTTGTGTTCACAGCACCAGTACTATAAAAAAAAAAAATTGAAATATGTTAGATAGTTCGAAATAGATGGATGTTTGATATTTTTGTGTGAAGTAGTTGAGTAGTGTGTTTACCAAGAGTAACATGACGCATCTAGTGACATGCCTTGGGTTGTTGTTTGCATTTGCTATTGAATTCATCAGTGTGTCTTTTATTGCCTCAACCCAATTGTACTTCTTGATGTTGTTGAGATTGTCAACATAGTTGAGGAAACTCCAACTGAGTGTATGGCCTGTTGTGGGCATGAGAAGTTTCAAGCACAAGTAAAGGGTGATTACCCTTGCAAGATCTTGACGATTATTGGTTGATTTTCCTTTTTTTGTTTGTTGAAACATTTTGGTCAAAGACTTGCCACCCAATCTCTTGACTGATTTGCATCTTCGTTTGTAAAATGGAAGCTCAAAATCCTTTGGTCTTGCATAGGATTTGGTGGTGATGCTGTCTTCTCCACAGTCGATACCAAAAATGAGCTTGACATCACTACTTCTGAGTTTCATTTCCTTTTTGCCAAGTACAAATGATCTTTTTCTTTTGTTGTAGAGTGTTGTCATTTCTGCTAGAATGGAATTGTAGCATCTGCACCAAGAGGCCTTCAGTTGTGTTGAGGAGAGAGCATTTATAAGGGGCCAAAAAGGGGTTTTTGCAGCTCTGTCTGTTGGGCTTTTGTGAATTTGACCCCCTTCAACAGTCTGATTAACGTTCCAATGTTGGAACGATAATTAAATTGTTGGACTCTCTTTGTAGGGATTGCTGCTTTTTTTTCTTTTGATGCCTTGGTTTTTGTTTTGGGAGTTGATTGGCTTTCTTGGAGCTTTCGTTTTTTGGTTGGAGGAGCTTTTTGGTTTTTTGTTGGCTTTCTTTTGTTTGTTTTTGTTGTGGTTGGAGGTGTGGTTGGTGTTTGTTGGGTGGGTGGGGTCTGTGGTGTAGTTCTTGGGCTTTTTCTTGTAGGTGGTGTGGTTGTTTTGTGGGTTTTTTGGTGGAGTCTGTTGGGTTTGGTTCTTTTTGGGTGTGGTGGTTTGGTTTTTTGTGGATGGGGAGATGGTGGTGGCATTTTAGTGGATACAGGAGATGGACTTTCAAAAGGAGAGATGGTTAAATCCCTGATTGGATTTGTGGGCATATGGGTTTGTTTCTTCCAATATCTTCCAACAACTATTTCTGAGAAAATGAAAGTGACAGCAGGGTATGAGTAATATAGTGACAAAACTGTATAATTTTGTTTTATATGCAGTTTAATATGAAGTTATATGTATTTTGTTAGTAACAGTTACGAAACTGTATAATTTGACAGTTTGATTTGCACTTTATAATAAGTTAGCTATTTGTTTTGAGTAGTGGTTAAACTATGTAATTTTGCAGTTTCATTTGCAGTTTGAATAAATTTAGATATGTTACTTGTATAGTGATGAAATGAAACACTATGATGTTGCAGTTTTTATAAGGAAACAGTATGAACAATAGGAACAGCCCATTGTATTTTGTAAAAAGCAACAATAACAACAAGAAGATTAAAAATTCAAAAATAAGAATAAGAGTAACCAATGTTGAACAACAAGAATAAGAATAAGGTGTTGAATGTGTAAAAACAGGGATTTTTGTGTAAAAACAGTGTTTAGAATGTTGAAAAACAGGGGACTATATATAAAAGAGGGTTTATACATTTGGAAGTATGTAAAATGTGTATATACGAAATATGAAAGAATGATGTACAAATGTGAATGAAAAATAATGAATAGGTGAAGAGATATGTTACTTTTTTTCCCCATTTTTGTGAATCGGAAGTCAGGAACTATGAAACCTCTTCAGAGTGGTGATGGTTCTTTGTGTTGTTGAGAGTCGCCGATTGGAGAATATGAACGGCTTGGTGTTGTGTTGAAGATGAACGGTTTGGTTTTGTGGTTAGGGTAGGGTTTCAGAGGGAATGGAGTCGAACGGAGGAGAGATGGAGGATTGAGAATGCGATTTCGAGCGGCGGAGATGTAACAGGGTACTGATCAGACTGAAATGATTGTGGGTGATGAAGATGAACGGTTACGTTTTCTGGTTAGGGTTAGGGTTTCAGAGGGGATGGAGTTGAACGGAAGAGAGATGGAGGACTGAGGAGTCGATTTCGAGCGGCGGAGACGTGATAGTGTAATGATCGGACTGAGATGATGGGGACGTGGGAGATGGTTGCGTGCGTGTAAATTGGATGATATATTGTGGGTATTTTCGTCTTATTGTTAATTTGAGGACTTAATGAAGTATTAAATTTGTTTTGGGTGTAAATAGGTTATGATATGTTGGGCTTGGACCTTTGGGTCAGACGCCCTTGTTTTATTTGTCAATTGGGTCAGATTAATATTGAGGGCCCAGTTTTAAGTCTTAATTAGTTTCAATGTCAAAGAGTATTCATTCAAGGCAAAACCAAGTTTTGCCTTGAATGAGAGGGGGCATTGTTGGCACCAAAACTTGGAACCCTCTGTTGACAGAGGCATGAACACGTGCAGTGGAGGACCAAGAATGAAGGAAGCGGAGTTAGTGGCCTAAAAAAAAGGAATGAGGGTGTGGCACATGGCAGTTACAGGAGAATAGAAAGTGCAAAGGCAATTGCAACAATTATAGTTCATGGGCAGTTATAGGAGCCTAGCAAAAGGACACATGGCAACACAACCTAGCCATTAGAGACCATATAAAAGCTGGGAATTCAAAGGATGGAGGACTGTCAACTAAATTTACAACTCATCAGAGTTCTTTATTTGGGAGTAACATAACTTAATTAGGAGTAATTCTTGTACTTAGGAGTAGTCCGTTTATAATTCAGTCTTTATAACCAAGTTTGGCTTGATTGTTGTGCCTTTTGAACTTACGATTTAATTCTTTGTAACCAAGTTTATTTGCACTTGTTTTTGCAACCTTTAAAGAAGTCCTTGAAATTATCAAGGCATAGGACACCAATCATATTGCCTGATTGAATTTCTATTTGTGAAAATTTCTCTATCAACTTTTTCCTGCCGATTTGATGCAAATCAAATTTTTGCTAACATAATGTTAAGTAATTCTAACACAAACCTGAGTAACACAACTATGATGTTCACTCCTAAGGGCCAAGGCAACCGCCTTTGTCAGCACTCCTAAGGGCCGGCTCTGCATAGCCCTTCCTAATAACATGGATTTGCCTTTCTACTGATATCAACACAAAGAGACTTCATCACCTAAGCTTATAAATATATAAAAAAAATAAAACATGAGATGGAAGGAGTTCAAGGATATTTCTTTCTTCTTCTTTTTTTCGATTCAAAAGTTCAAGGATATTTCTAAGAATACACTCTGCAACAAAGCAATATAGGTACAAATATGTGTTTATCAGATCTGCTAAAAGAAGTTATATAACCAATCTCTTAGAACCCTACCCTTTAGTTATTGAGACAGTTACAGGTATAACAGTTCCATGTTTTTGCCTTCAGCAATCAAGGTACAAAAAGACATCAACAAGCTTTTGTTCTCTAAGAGCTAAAAGCATTTGATGGCATAACCAAAATCTTGTAGCTACAGAAGAATGACCCAGTTCCATAAAAACACAAAATCGAGGGGACAGGTTGGAATAGGTAATTACACGAGGGTAAGCATGAGAGTAGTTTAAGCTCTTGGATAGCGAGAGCGGCCTTTCTTCCTCAGGAACTCTGGGATCTCAACTGCGCCACCTTCATTGAATGAGGAAGGTCGTCGATTCATTCCAAGAGTGACATCTCCCTGTACTAGCTGACTTGCCTGCATTTTCACCAGAAGTCGGAAAACTTAAAATATACTTCTTTTCAGAGTAGGTATGTCAACGGACACGTAATCAACCACAGAACCAATCACACAAAATACAAGTGGAACAGTATGAGTGAAACTGTATTTTTTATGACAGATCCCACTGTCTGATATGTACAGACAAGATTGTTTTAGGTGATTGGTTTTGTGTCCGTGAACTTGTTGAATAAGAAAACCCAAAGGTGGATTAATTAATACCTGTAGGGGTCTCCCTTCATTTTCTTCTTGACGTTTGAATCCTGTAGCAATTAGAGTAATACTGACCTGAAAGCAAAACCCAATGCAAAGTGACAAATTTTATTCAAAAAGAACATCCACGCCCGAAGTAAATGGCACGCTAAGCCATTTCTCAGTTGAAATGCCTAACTTGTGAAAACTCAAAGCTGGACATACAAACTAACTAGGCTCTAGCTAATGACCTTTTTGAAGTTTGGATTGATAGTATAATGAAGTGTAACATTTTTTGACAATTATGAATTCATAATCATTCTTGTTCTACGGACATCCTTGATTGAACAATTAAATGGTGAGCCACAAACTATTACTTCCCTACGATTATTACATCAAAAATGCATGATAAAACAGTTCTCCAATATGTTATTACAGGTGGCTAGGGCATTTGTATGTGACCATGCCTAGAAAATAGTAACTTACCTGACCACTGAGAGCTGGATCTATCACTGCTCCAAATATTAAGTTGGCAGTAGGATCCACAAGGTCATAGATAACCTCTGCTGCTGCATTTACCTGTAAAACTCCCATATGAAAATCAAGTGTGAGAAGGGACACCACAAGCAGAATAACTTATAAACTAATAAGCAAGGATGCAGTTATGAACAAAGACATGGACACAGCGTTTTTCAACAAACTAGGACACAGACACAGTGGGAACATGGCAAAGTAAAAATAAAAATAAAAACAAATTATTTACCACGTATATGAATATAAATTTAGGATACATAAATGTGAGAGGCATCGATGTATATGTAGGTGTATTTTTATTTTTTCTACCTTTGCCCTCTTTATTCCCATATATTTGACTTACTCCAAATAAGTTTGATAAAGTGTCCCCAACGTGCCTTCAAAAAAAATAGTAGTTAAAAATTTTGACAGGCCACATGCCATGTCAGACACATGGACAAGCACACCCACCTTGGATTGTTGATTTGATGCTTATTAGCTTATGAAATAGCATGATCATAACCAGTTCACCATGTAGCATTATCATACTATAGTATGGCATTTCTTCATAAGATTAAGGATTCCACCTAAGTGAATGCCAAGCTGATAAGAGTGTTTACGATCCAACCTACGCAAATTGGACATCACTACAGCTGTTAATGGTGAGGAATAGTGGATTCACTGGCCAATATATTCCTTGCAACAGCCTTTCTTCGCCAATAATACAAACCGTTTAGGTTCAGAGTATGAATCAAGGTGTGATCGGGAAGATAGATAAAGAGACATGCATGTGGATAAAGAACATAGCATGACAAGGTTCAACATAAGCAAATATAGCAGGACAAGGTTAAACATAAGAATTTGTCTCTGTTCTGTTCATGTAAAATTGGTGAACACTGAGAAAATCCTCAAGGTACTTTAAGTGGCAGATGTGGGGCCTAACCTGGGACCAATACCTTAGATTTGTAAGTAATATTCCTTTTTGTGGGACCTTTGGGTCATTTAAAAAATATATATAAAACTGAGGGCTCTCTCATAGGTTCTTTTGATGTACATGGGTGGCATCCCCTTGATGCTAATTAATGTAGTTATTATTTACTAAATAAAAAAAAAATGGTGTAGGAATTTACATAGGCTGCAATACATGTATACAAACATATATGTGCATGTATACATATATTTACGTCTCGGAAGTTGTAGAAGTTCGCTCTCAATTAGATCATAATTTTAACCACAAATGGTTATATTCAGAAGATGCCCAAAGAAAATATAAGGTTGTAAACAGGGATCCGTAAATATTAACTACACAGATCAAACCCATGCATATGATGAGAGAGAGAGAGAGAGAGAGAGAGAGAGAGACCTCAAACAAAGTTAAATCACTACCACCAGTTATGTTCCAGACAATTCCAGTGGCCCTCTCTATGCCAATATCTAATAAAGGTGATTGAACAGCATTTAATGCAGCATCTCTTGCTCTGGACTTTCCTACACAAGAACAAATACCACAAGATAACTTACAGAAGTTTGGCCACTCATCCTATTTCAGACTAAACAAAGCCAAAAGCAAAATGCAGAAGAAAAAAAATACAAAAATATGTGTATCCATACATTTTCTTTTCTTGGCTTAATTAAGGTTACTTACATTACTTAATTCAGATAAGTTTTCTGTGCTACCTTCAACATATTCAATTTCTTATAGGAATTCATAATATTAAAATTTAAAACCTAAGAAAAACATTTTTTTTAAAAAACAATCATAATTAAAATCTAGTCACTGAAGAACACAATAAAAAATTGATCACACTTTATTTTTTCTGGTAAAACAGACAAGAAATTTTTTTTTTTTTGGCCTCCATGAAAAGGATTCCAAGAACACAAGTGAAGCCTTTAACGTGTCTAAAGATCATTAATCAAGTAGCTTCTCAAATTTACCAGTTGCAGTTCCTATTCCCATTAATGAAGAACCAGCATTTGCCATAATAGCTCGCACATCAGCAAAATCCACATTCACTAGCCCTGGAATCTGCAAATGCAGCATGCGATCATGAATTAGTGAAAAAGAGAGACAACCCCTTAAGGTTGCACATTGTACCACAAAATGGAAAATCAATTACCCAAAGAAAACAAAGCAAAAAAAAACGAGTTTGGCATACTACACAGAATTCACTGTAGATACACGCAGGCAGATATAGTTACGCTCATACAGGTATCCATGGCTTGCTCTAACTTTAACATCTAAGGATATATGTTCTAAGCCATTCATATTAATATAATAAAGTAGCTTTAAATGATAATTCTCTCTTCCCCACTTTAAGCAAATCAGTGATTATTATCAAAATAAATAATGAATCATTTGGTCAAACAAGGATGTTCTTTGCATTTACTGAAGGTATATATCGCCAAATATGTGGATTGCGTCAAAGAATGAGTCAGCAACCTTCCTCATTGTTATCAATGAAGTAAGAACGAAACAATTAACATAATTTTGGCTCACAAGAGGGTAAGAAAGAAGTTTGTTGACATAACTATGCCTCATGCAATCCAAAGCCTATCAGGACAAATCCTCAGTGTTCTGTTTGTTACAAAGGATGAAAAATAGAAAGAAAGGAAAGTGAGGAGGGAAGGAAAAGGCATCCTTACAACGGAGGCTGCACATCCCTTTGTGTGTTTGGTTGAGTAAGAAGGAAAAGAGAAGAAGGATGAAAAATGTATTGTATGGCTTTACCATTATAGCCTGACATATTGAGGGAAGACATTTTTTTAAAGGAAAAAAATATAAAAACAAAGAGGCTCTTTCCTCCCTCCTTTCCTCTCCTTTTTTGGAAGGAATATGGTGGGCCTGGAAGGAAAGCCCTTCCCCTGAGCTTTCCTCCTCTTCCATTTCTCCTTCCTAACAGATAAGGAAAAGTATTTTCAACCCTCCTACCATTCCATTCTTTCACCTACCAAACAGTCCGCAAGGGAAATGAAGATCTATAAATCACTGCATAATTTTGATGTTTCTTTAATTTCACCCACCAACCCATCAAGTCAGCACACACAAGTATTTTTTGGCACTCCATACCGTGATTATATCAGAGATACCGCGAACACCTTGTCGAAGAATATCATCAGCCAGGTTAAATGCTTCAGTTACAGGGGTAGAAGGGGAAACTGCAGTCAATAACTTGTCATTTGGAATGACAATCAGTGTGTCAACATTGTCCCTCAAAGCTGCAATTCCTTCTTGGGCTTGAACAGCCCTCCTCCGCCCCTCAAAAGAGAAAGGGGTTGTGACAATACCAACAGTTAAGATACCCATTGACTTTGTAATTCCTGCAATTACAGGTGCCCCACCAGTGCCAGTTCCGCCACCCATTCCAGCCTGCGCATCATTATTTAAAGTTTCTATGTAAGAGAGAGAAACAAAAGCTATGGAAACAATAAAAGACTGAGTAACTGACACGCATGATACTAGTTATGTAAATCCCTCCGGACCCCAATCCAAAATAATCAGGTTGTCCACTATTTAGGAAATAGAATTGTAGATATTTTAGAGTGGACCCAGAATGTTCATTATCTATTTGCAAGCTTGTGTACAACATATTTATACAAGATTACAGTAAACTATTTTGGGCATGTAGCGCATGACATGCACCAAAATGGGTTCTAACATACAAGACACGTGGAGTTTTACATGTTTATAAACCATGCACTAGTTTATCCCTACTTAGTAGATAGTCCATGCCATGACTGTGAAGTACCCATGTCAAGTGTCCGACATGGGTACGTCACAAATTTAAATGAATCCATGTAACTATCTAACAAGGGATGTATAAAGATACAATAGATGGGACCAAAGTTACCTAGAATGAGGAATGGGAACAAGAATGTGGTACACCACGTGATGTACAATGTGGTACAAAAGGGGGTGTGCTTTTATGGATCATACGATCAAAATTTATTGAGGCACTTCTAAATATGAGAGCAACTTTTTGTAAAGAATTAGACATCCTATTTATCCAAAAAAAAAAAAAATTAGACATCCAAAGAAACATAGTACATTATTCTTCAACTTAATCCTGTAAAATCACAAATCTAGGAGAATTACGGTCTCTTTTATTACATTTTGTCCCACCAACATTCCACAAATCTAGGAGAATTACGGTCTCTTTTATTACATTTTGTCCCACCAACATTCCTCTCTATACATTTTGTCCCACCAAAGAAACCGTACCATTTTTTGGAAAATGTCTTCCACAATGTAAATCACTACGGTATTAGCCTTTTTTGATACACAGTGGGACACATACTAAAATCCAGATATTATAATGAAGACAGAAAACAAAAGGATCTGTATTCATCAAATTTCATAGTAACTACAGTACCCACTTGTTCTCCATTCATAGTGAACTAAAATACAGAATCACATGACTCGGAAAACTGCAAACAAAGAAAATTGGTTTGCGATTATGGACCACTATATGAAAATAAAAAACATGGACTCGAAGACAAGCTATCTATCCCGTCAAAATTTAAAGAAAATACCTTATGTACGTATGACGATCTATCTAAATGAAACCTATGCCTCATAATGCATCGCATAAATTTTGGATATGAAAGTTTAATATTCAATGTTGGTTGCCTTTTGACTGGGTACCCGAGAAGGTCACATACTTGATGACCATAATTTTTAACCAAAATTTCTCAGGTAATTTGGCTATAGGGCATAACTTTACACAAAATTTCTTAGTTATAGTTCTTTTACACTTTTCAATACCTCTCTTCCTCAAACCATCAGTGCTTTTCTTAAAAGGATTTTGGAAAACAAAAAAGACCTAAAACCATCATATGATGAATGGATGAATTTTTATTTTTTTCTCTTTCTATTGACACGTTCTTGAATAGAAAACTAATATGACAACAAACAACAGATTAATCTGGAAAATTACATTGGTAATAGTATCTGAAACTTACAGTCACAAAGACCATGTCTGAACCATAAACTGCCTCTTCTATCGACTCTTTGCTTTCCTTGGCAGCATTCATGCCAATATCTGGGTTCCCACCAGCACCAAGTCCTCTGGTAAGCTCTTGACCTATTTGCAACCGGTGCTCAGGAAACACAGGCGACATTCTCATGGCTTGAACATCTGTGTTAACAATCCAAAACTCCACACCCTTCATTGCACTCTCTATCATTCGATTAACTGCATTTGACCCACCACCTCCAACACCAATAACTTTGATCTTGGCATCATTGTAGTTACTCAAACTTGATGAATCTCTCAAGCTTTCAGTGACACTTCCACTAGGACCATCCTTTCTTGGATTAGTCACCGTGTTGTTCCCATCACCTCTAAGCATTGAAATTTCGGGATGTAAATTCAGAAATGGGTCCTTATTATGATATTGGTTGACATTGTGAGAGTTGGCCGAACATTTAAACCGAGGAGAATATGAAGCACTCTTTTGGCTAGCACCCAAAATCCCAGTCTTTTCATCAAACACCTTCAGGGAGCTTACTCTTCCATAGTGATTTTCCATTGAAACCCTCCCCTCAAGAACAGTTAGGACCCCGGTTGGGCTTCGAGTATCAGGTGTGAAATAGGGTGACAAACACGTTGCCATTTTGGAAAAACTAAAATCTCAAAATTAAGCTACTTTTGCTATTTTTAGGAGATTGAGAAACCCAATTGACTATATGTCAAATTCCATTGCAAGATTTTCTAATAAGACCTGTTAATCAAACCCAAGAAACAAAAAAACACAGTTAACTAATTAAAATAAACCCATTATAGAAAGTTAGACATGAAGATAATTACAAGCAAGTTGCTATATAAAAACAACAACAATACACTCAGAGACACTACAACCTAGCCGAGTAGTCAAACAAATTTAAGAATCAGCAAATGCAGATGTTATAAATTTGCATTGCAAAAGACCCATTAGCTGAAACCCATCAAAAGTCCTAACAATTGTTCAAGAAAAACAAATCCAATATCAATGAGTGACAGGTAAATCAAAAAACCCAGAACAATATCAACCCTAAAAATCAAAAATGCAAAAATGTAGAACAAGAGAGAGAAAACGTCATATGGGTTAGAGAGAGAGAGAGAGAGAGAGAGAAAAGAAAGACCTTTGATTATAGAACGGAGGGTGCAATGATGGAAGCATTCGAAGAAGAGAAAGGGGTCCGAATTGTGGTTTTGGCAGTGCTTTGTGGAGGGTTTGATTAGAACAAATCACACTAGTTCTTGTTACTACTAATCCAGTAAATTTGGTTTCTTCTGGAGTCCACGCTACCATAATCGCATTAAATTCTTCTGAAAGAGTAAAGAAAGAACACTACCTTGCATTTTGGGGGAAAGAACTTGAGAGTCTGTATTTTAGTGTATAAAGTAAAAAGGTGTCAATTTATTTTTTATAAATAAATTGTGTATTTTAGTGTTTTTTTTTTTTAAATATAACTTTACCATAATTATATGAGTCTCTTTTGAATTTTAAATTGTATAATATTTCAGGGAGTTTTTTTTTATAAATTCATTTTTTAAGAGTTTTATTCTATCCAATCTATACTCTTTTTGACTATTCCATTAGGTCCTATTTGAGATAAGAAAATCAAAATACCATTTTCATCTACTTATCTTCCATTTAGTTCACATTATTTTTTTATGTTTCAATAACTCCTATGGGTGACATAATTACCAAAATACTCTTAATGTGAATGTTCACACCGTCAATGTGAATGTTCATATCGTCAATGTGTAGGGGCCCGGCCCATGTCAATCCTTGTGGGTGTCCGAAAAAATTCGAGTCGGGCCCGGACGGGCCCGGCCCATTGACAATGTGAATATTCACATTGACATGTTAACATTCACATTAATAGGAGTGTAAAATTGGTCCGCGTCCCGTGGCGACGCGAAACCCGCCCGCGGCCTATGGGCGGCCCGAGGCGGGCCCGGTTCGACCCGTTGACAATGTGAATATTCACATTGACATATTAACATTCATATTGATAAAAGTATAAAATTGGCCCATGGCCCATGGGCGACCAAAAGCTCGCCCACGGCCCCGGGCGGGTCCGGCCCGGCCCGTTGACAATGTGAATATTCACATTGACATGTTAACATTGACATTGATAGGAGTGTTAAATTAGCCCATGCCTCGTGGCTACCCAAAACCTACCCACGGCCCGTAGGTAGCCCGGGCAGGCCCGGTCCGACCTATTGACAATGTGAATATTCGCATTAACATGTTAACATTCACATTGATAAGAGTATAAAATTGGCCAGCGGCCCAGGGCGGACCCGGTCCGGCCCGTTGACAATGTGAATATTCACATTGACATGTTAACATTCACATTGATAGGAGTGTAAAATTAGCTCGTGCCTCGTGGCTGCCCGAAACCCCGCTGCACGGCCCGTGGGCGGCCCGGGGAGGGCCAGGCCATTTTTTTTTAATTCTTTTTAATTTTTTCTACCAAAATTTTATTATTTTCCATAAAAAAAGACACTAGACCTCGGCGCGGGCCGGGCCTCGAACTGAGCCTTGAATGGGCCTTAACCGGGCCGATGGACCGGAATAGGCTTCAAAGTGATAGCCCAGGCCCTAGCCTAGGGTCTCGAACTTGGCTCGAGCCTGGGCCTGGGCCCAAACGAGCCTTTCTCGGGCAGGGTCGGGCCGGCCCACGGGCCAAAAAATTAGGCCCTAGCCTTGGCACAAGGGTATTCGGACTTTGGACGGGCCGATGGATCAAGCCTCGGGTCGAACCGGTGGGACTGGGCCTAACTCGAGCTTAGGTCGGCCTTGGGCGGGCCTGGCCTTTTTTTTTTAATTCTTTTTAATTTTTTCTACCAAAATTTTATTATTTTCCACAAAAAAATACATTGCGCCTCAGACGGGCTGGGTCTCGGACCGAGCCTTGAATGGGCCTTAAGCGGGCCGATGGGCCGGGCCGGGCCGGGCCGGGCAGGGCTTCAAAGTGATGACCTAGGCCCTAACCTAGGGTCTCGGACATGCTCAGGTCCGGATCGAAACGAGCCTGCCCCGGGCCGTAGGCGAGCTTCGGGCAGCCCACGGGCTGCGGGCCAATTCTACATTCCTATGAATGTGCATTTTAACATGTCAATGTGAATATTCACATTGTCAACGGGCCGGATCGGGCATACCTCGGGCCACGGGCAAGCTTCAGGCAGCGGACAAATTTTACACTCCTATTAATGTTAATGTTAACATGTCAATGTGAATATTCACATTGTCACGGGTCGGGCCAAGCCCGCCTCGGGATTCGGGCCACCCACGGGTTGCAGGCCAATTTTACACTCTTATCAATATGAATGTTAATATATCAATGTGAATATTCACATTGTCAACGGGGCAGGGCGGGCCCGCTCTGGGCCGCCCATAGGCCGTGGGCGGGTTTCGAGCAGCCACGAGGCGCGGGCTAATTTTACACTCCTATCAATGTGAATGTTAACATGTCAATGTGAATATTCACATTGTCAACGGGTCGGACCGGGTCAGCCCCAGGCAGTGGGCGGGCTTTTGGCCGCCCATGGACCGCGGGCCAATTTTATACTCTTATCAATGTGAATATTAACATGTCAATGTGAATATTCACACTGTCAACGGGCCGAACTGGGCCCACCCCGGGCCGCCCATGGGCCTCGGCTGGGTTTCGCGCCGCTACGGGACGCGGGCCAATTTTACACTCCTATTAATGTTTAACATGTCAATGTGAATATTCATATTCATATTGTCAACGGGCCGAGCCTGCCCCAGCTCGCTGGCGGGTTTCGGGCCGCCCACGAGCCAATTTTACATTCCTACCAATATGAATTTTAAAATATGAATGTTCACATCATAAAATTGCTAACCGTTCAAAAAATATTTATAAGGGTATCAAAATTAAATATAAGGGCATAAGTGTCTAAAAAAATAGTGTAAATAAAAAAAAAGGACTTTATGGAATAAAACTATACATACATGGGATTAAATGGGTTAAAAAATTCATTCATGGACTTCTTAGATTAAAACACTTCTCAATGAGATTTATCAATAAAAATTTCAATATTTTATGTAACTTCATTTTTTAGATGGGATCTCACTTCATTAGATAATCAATTTTGTAACTGTATCACCATTTTATCTAATAAAATTCTAAGTTTGACCTTATACATTTAAAAATAAAATTACTTGTTTATGACCTTTTTGAGAAATTTTTTAATCAATTTAATTGATTTTGATACAAAGTGATCTTTTCAGCAATTCAAAAAAAAATTAAAAAAAAAAAAAAATTCAGAAAGTAAATGATATGATATGATAGTGTTTTTTTTTTTTTTTTCCCTCTCATACCCAATCACATTTTTCTCCCCCATATTTCAATTGCAGCAGTTCAATGTACACATGCAGTCAAGTGTTAACGTCCACCTCCATCTAAATCCGTTACAGAAATTGACGAAAAATAATCATTTGGTGTGACAGTGGCATAATTTTGACGCTATAGTAGGGTACTAGAAAGAAATAGACTAAGATTAATTGGTGGATACATGTATACCATTAATAATTCATAATCATATACACAAATAAATAAAATAAGTAAAAAAAGAAAAATATGTTGATTATATAAAAATTAGGAGGCACTAATAATTTTAGTCCATCATGGATAGAGATATTGGTACTCGCATAATAATCTCTATATGAAAATGCTTGACTAATGAATATGTTTGAAATATACTTTTTAATATCATTAAAAATTATTAACTAATTTGATGATTTATTAATAGAATATGTCATTTATTGTGCAATTAGAAACTTGAAAGGATAAGATGTAATTTTTAAAATTATAGTAGACAATATGTATTTTAAGTAAATCTCAGATGAATTTATGATTTACCTAAAAAAAAAAAGTACAATCCGAATAGCATCGGCTAATATCAAAGAAAAATATAGCTAAAATCCTTTTATGAGAGAGTTTTATGGAAACTGAAAGAAAAACTAGAGAAAACGAAAAGTTGGCAATTTCCATTAATTTGTCCAAAAAAAAAAAGACTTAAGCTAGGGGGCAGCATTGGCGACCAAAAAAAAAGTGATGTTGTATGTCCAAATAAAAAGGCCAAAGGGCAAATTAAGATTTAGCGTTTAAAAAAAAAGAAAAAAGATTTAGCGTAAAATATAAAGGTACAAAAATATTATTTACCCTTTTTTACATTTAATAATGGATTAGATTACATTAGCTTGTTTAAAAATTATAAGGCTTAAATAAACAATATATATAATTCACACTAAAAAGTTGTAGCATATGTAAATGTACTACCAGTAGCTAATGCAAGTGCTACTATGTATTTGTTTGTGTACATGAAGCAATTCAATTTAACTGGTAACTTTACTTCAGCCTCGGCCTATAGTTTCATCACTGATTTTGATCTGGCTAACAGAGACTGGACGTGGATCTGGAAAATTAAGATCCCTCATAAACTTAGATGTTTCCTTTGGTTGATCTTAAAGGGCAGGTTGATGACAAACCAACTTCGGCTTGTTAGACATCTTGCCCCAACTGATATCTGCCCCAGGTGTGGCCAACATAGTGAAGACATGAAGCATTTGCTTAGAGAACGTCCTACCTCTAAAGATATTTGGACTCATATTCAAAATCTCACCTGGTGGGAAGAAGGAAATCAACAACCTCTGAATGATTGGATTATTTTGAACATAAAGAACAAAGATATTTTTCATGAAAAAAAAAAATGGTATCTTATCTTCATTGTTACACTGTGGCAAATCTGGAAAGCTCATAATAAACTGATTTTTGATAACCTGTCCAATCCTATTCAAGTCAATCTCAAGAATATTTTTACTTATGTTCATGAAATTGATGAGGCTTTTCATTCCCCCCTTTGCCCCCATTCGGCAGAACCCAAACTAATTCATTGGTGTTGCCCACTTGCAGGTAAGCTTAAAATGAATGCCGATGGCTGTTCAAAGGGAGATCCAGGCCAAGCAAGTTATGGAGGAGTGCTGCGTGATGAAACAGGCACTTGGATTTGGGGATATTACGGAAAGTTAGGCCACTGTTCCAGCTTAGAAGCAAAAATATGGGCCATATATAGAGGGCTCACCATCCTCTTCCAGAAAAATACCAGAGATGTTCACCTGGAATCAGACTCTGAGCAGGGCATTAACCAAATTCTCCATGGCCCAAACCACAACTCACCATTTAAGGCCCTCATTGAAGATACTAAATTCCTGCTACAGAGGACTAACAGCTCACTTGGCCACACCCTACGTGAGGGTAACAGAGTTGCTGATCGCTTAGCCAATATTGGAGTGTCTCAAAATGAGCATGTTGTAGTCCTTGATAACCCTCCACCTGAAGTTGCT